ATTTTTAAATTATTTTTTATTTCCAAAAAAGTCTTGTGTGTTAAGAAATATTGAAAAGAGAATCCAAAAAAAAAAAAAAAAAAAAAAAATTGTTTTCTGGAGTTCGTTTAGACAAGCTGAAACGTCCCTAGCACCACGAGTGGATGAGACTCGCTAGCCTTGGACGGCAACTCATCTACGAGACAGCGAACACTCAATTCAAACCCTGACATTGATTCCCGTAGGTGGACAGCATAATCACAATAAATATTCCGACAAGTCCTGCGACGCTACTGGAACCAAACTGTATCATCCACATATGCTGTTCCCTTGGGTTAGTCCGGTGCGTGGACAGGTGAGTTTCTGTCTAGGGAAGCAGCTTACCCTTAGAGAGAAATTATACCACACCTTGTGATTGAGTCCTGCAAATTCTACACCAATGTCCCAATGTGACTGACAAATGCAAGATAAAAACAAGAAAAAACCCGTTAAAAAAAACACAACATGAACACACAAAAATAAAGCACCCCTTTGCGATTGTATTTGTGCAACATGAAGAGGCATTTATCTTTTCTTTTTTTTTTAGATGATCACTTAACCCGTTCGTCTTTCACGCCCCTGAAACGTATTTTTTTTGGTAAATTAAAATAAAAAGAAATCGTTGTCAATTTGAAACTAAATTAAATTTTCACGTGTGCAAAATAATGTTTGTTTTGAGACAATGTTATACACATGAAAAATGTTACTTTCCATTTCTTTCTTATCTGAAATGTATGTTCATGAAATGTTTACAAAATATTTTTGTTTACTATAAACATATCCATCCTCATAAATATGTGTCAATCTTTATTATCGCCTCTAATTTGTACCGTATCTCTGTAAGAATGGGAATATCCATGTGTCCTTATTTTAAAAGAAAAATCGCATCTAATATTTTCCCATGTCTAACTTCATTGACTTTAAATGTATCAATATCCTTACGTAAATATGTCTAAAGATGTCAGAGAACTTCAACTTTACTAACCGACATTGGAATAAATCAAGTTTATTATTATTATTTTTTTTAATTAAAAAATTATGACACTTTTTTTACGCTCGTAATATCATGGGTTTTAAAGACATTGTAATCCACATAAAATCAACAAACCGTTTTTGCTCTACTAGCAACGTGTTTACTGAAGAATGGTCAATAACTTATTTCATTAGTTTTAAAACTATATATATATATATATATATATATATATATATATATATATATATATATATATAATTTTGCTGTGTATATATATATATATATATATATATATATATATATATATATATATATATATATCATTTTGCCGTGTATAACTAATCGGAGCTTTGAATTATACTAATTGTGTCATATTATAATCGAATCGATTTTCATAAAATAAACACAATGTTTTTAACTTTGTTGTTAAGAATCCTATTTAATTTTAGAAAACGGAATTGACATGTCTATTGAATTGAACACAAAATTTCCCACAGATTAGTGCTCACTAAGTTAATGTTACTTTTTTCGCTGTTGAACAGAGCATGTACTCTCCCTCTTTCTTTCACTCTTTTTTCGGTTTTTCTGTTTGTCTCCTTCCCTGTCAGATTCTGACACTCTGTTAAATAATATGATTCTGGGCAGGCAGTTTCTGATTTTCAAATTTGTATCCTTAAATCCATGATTATTGAAAGACTTTGGGACGTTTTGTCACTGTTATGACGTTTATTAAGCTAAATACGTTTAGAGAGAAAAATCTTAACACTTTCAGCAAATCAGATTATCAAAAAAATATATTTTTTGCATTAATCTATTTGTGCACATATATCTTTTAATATTAATTATAAAATAAATTGCGAGCGCTTTGGATCTTGGGCTGAAAGTGTGTCGATTCCACACCTTATTTTTTTTTATTATAGTTCAATGTCCACATTATTATAAATGAATTTAAATGAACATTTTTTTTTCTTGCCTGTTGTTACCTAGAGTAATTTAAACCCAAGCAGAGTTTTTGGGGATTTGATTCCCCCTAACTTAGATTAGAAGCAACAGCCTTCTCCACCTCTTCTCCTTGTAGACACTCCTGAGTGTAGTGGGGTTATGACTGGGTTACAAAATAGACGGTTACAAAATGTTGAAAAAAGTTACGTTATATAGGTATATTTTGGTGGATGTGGTTTATATTACAAGTGATCAGGCAAACTTTGAAAAGAGATTAATATATTACAAGCTTGAGTAATTTCAATTGAGAGAAGAATACTAATGCACTAATTTCACATATTAAAGTCATTTGGTGTCACTATGCAAAAAAAATTCCTAAAATTAACCAGGATTGCAGATTTATACAGCAACAACAACAATAAAGCCATACTGGACACATGCGTACGCTTTTGGCATCACGTGTCATGAAGCGAAAAGAAACACCGTATTGCTTCTTTTTGTTTCGTAGGTGTTCACGTAGCAGGTGGATTGATCTGTCCAGCCGGTATAGCAGGTAAATCACGAAAAATACCTGCAGTCTTTATTAAAACAGTTCTCTCCCGAAAGTCACTCTGTTAATGTAACTTCACCTTTATACCTTAGTCCCAAAGAGTTAGGGGGTAGCTAGGCGTTAACCATGGAAAAAAAAATACGTATGTAGATTCATGTCATGCGAAAACACAATAAGATTAAGCGACAATTATGTGTGAAACCGAATCAGACATGAGTAGGAAAGGATTAAGAAATGTTAACTTTATTTTGATGAAAAATCGTTTCAAAACTCGAGCTTGCCGTGTTTATAAAAACTAAATGAATAATTAAATATGTATAAACATATACATCACAAAACACGAAATTAAGTTTTTTTTTTAATGTTATATATTTATATATTATATTTAATCCTTTAAAAGACTGAAGAGGTGGAGCGCATTCATTTATCTTCCACGGGATTGCCAAACTGAAAGAAATTATCCTTATTGTTGCCACTTCTGAAAAGAGCACATTTAATGCTACATTTTGACCGTGTCAGTGAAAGACGCAACACGCGTGCGCGCTTCATACACTTTTTGATGCCAATGACTGATAATAATTTGTTTTCCTTCGGTTGAAGAAAATAGCAGTATATCCTTCTATCCTCGTCGATGGAATGTAAAATTTGTCCCAGAATGAAATAAATTATTTTCCCAGGTCTGGAGCAAAGTAATCGTCGACCTAAGCATTAGTTCCCTTACAAGTTTATCTGACGATATGTGGAGCCTCCTGCTGATAAGGATCTCATTCCTTGGTACACAAAAACCAATATATGTTACTTTAGAGTTAAGCATTATATTCCTAAATGTTGAAAATAATATATATATATATATATATTACTATTTACTTTTTTTTCTCTCGATTTTTTAAAATAGTAGCTTTTGGGATAAGGTGATTATGTTCAAACTTTCCAGGAGCCATCAGTAGTCCAAGGCGAATAACTTGGTCAAATTTTTTTGCGGTCATTTGTTTAGTTTTATTGTGATTGTCAGCCCGTTTACAAACAAACAAATAAACATGGTCACACTGAGCCCTATATAGTGGCTACGTTTAGTTTGTTGCAATATAATTAGGAAAACATTTCAAGCTACTAGCAATAATCACAAGAAACCTTAGTTAAACATCATGCATTCAGACATGAATATTAACGCTATATTAATGGCATATTACTGGCCTATGGATGGCATTTTTAAAAAGGCCATTTATGAATATGTATGTTCACCAATTTGAAAAAAAAATGTATACCACAGTGTTCATATATAATAACATCAGTGAGATACCTTTGCATCTTGCCACGTCTTGCTGCTGTCATAATATTTGAAGCAATAACCAGTGGCAAGTAAAGCACCAGGAAGTACATCATGGCACTGGTTTTTTATGTCTGAAATAATATGTAGTTCACAAATTATGATGCTTAATATCTTAATTTTCATTCAGAAAAGCTATTCTTTTCTCCATCTATAAACATTTGTTAAAGATAAAATTCTTTTATATATATAAAAAATGGAAAAGTCTTTATTAATTTTTATTACAGTGTAAATATTAATTTTTTGCATGTAATGAAATACATATTTAAAATGGCACACAATTTTACAACTGTAACAGATCTAAAAAAAGTTTTATTTAATAAAATGCATTTGTGTACATCTGAAAATTAGAATGTTATAAACGGAAAGATTGAAAAAAAGTTTGATACTACAATATATCATATATTTATTTATTTAATTCTCTCTTTCTCTCTCTTTATATATATATATATATATATATATTCATACATCTGTTTTAAAACATCAGTCTGAGAAAATTTTGAAATAAACATGTTTGTAGTATGATTTAGTACAGTATGATTTGACATCTAAATAGTTTGTATACCTTAAATGTATAAATTACATAGTAATGCAAATGTAAAACACCAACCAGTGTTGGCAATTTAAATGCATATATTTCTTATTTAAAACAATTTTTTCAAGCTAACCAAATCAAGGCAATTTCAAAGCACCAAGGAAATTAAAGAAAGATTATTTTTGATCCAAATTGGTCTGTACAATCTTTGTTTACCTATAATTCTAAGACAAAATAGAAACTGGTGAAGGCACCGGCCGCAACGTTTACATGTGTTTTGTCTTATGGTATTGAAAGAACAGCAAACATTTTGTTATCTACTCAAACAAACGCCCTACATAACGTTCGACCTCAAATCTTCTATTCCCCATCACCGTTGCCCCCCAAGAGTACATATCTGAGTTGTTTTCTCTACACACCCAATACAGGGTTCACTTGCAGCTTTGTAGTCTTTTATTATGGTCAGTAATACGAGCCAACTATGCAAGAGCCCATATATGGTCATAGCACAAGATTCCCACCTAGCAGTATACACACACACACACACAAGCACTTAAATACTCTTTTCTGTGTGTTTGGGGGGGGGGGCAGAATACACAACTGGTGCTTACGGGAAAAAAATGTTAAACATCAAAGGGTTGCGTATGTATTGAAAATAAAATATGATTTTGGACATTGCTAATGGCCCTATTTTAAAGTTACAGACAAATAACCCCATTAATTTTGTATAAATTATAATATATTACAAACCCATTTATGGTATCAACTTCGAATATACAGCAAAGAATTACATATTTGTATCTAGGTCAAATCCATATATGGATATCTGAGTTACGAGCATGAATGGTACACCGGAAAAAACCATTATTATATGTCATTATCTAAGGCGCATTCAGGTGAGCTGTTGATTGAAATGTGCGTGCTTTAATTCAATATAAGGTAATGTCTTTTATATTATCTTTTAGGTGTATTTTTACGCGTTAAACAGAATTGAATTATAAACACATTTATAAATACTTAAAAAACATAAATATTTGTACATACTCTGGATAATAAAAATTCGTTAAATATTTGATTGCATTAACACTCTAGGAACCCATAGACAGTGTTGTTTTTTTTTTAGACAATTTCCTTTGGAAGACTTTAAGATTAAAACAAAAGTCGGTGGGGGGTGGGAGTTGGCAGAATAACTAGCAAGATGTTTGGCTGAGTAGGAGCAGATGGGACAAATGTCCTGGGGCGTCCGGCTAGTGGGTGAAGAAAATAGCTAATTAATACAAAATAATTTGTTTCAGGGTTTAGGGAGAGCGTAAAAATGAATCATATTCTCTGGATCAAAACAATATAGCTACGCCTCTGCTAGTGACCTAGAAAGGGGGCAAATGGGATGTTCTGCTAAGGTGACACTTTTCCTTTATATGGAGGCGTGACAATTTCGGATAATTGTATAGTTTATATTGTGAAAGTGAGTTTCTCCAAAGAGAATTCATTATTTAAAATCAAGATGAGCATATTTGAGTGCACTAAAATTTAAGTGTATTTACTGATCATTGGAAAGAAATTTTAAAGTGTCTTCTTGGGGAGGGGGCAAGAATTATGGGGTCTAGTGTCATACATAAAATGATTACACTCAAGAGAAATCATTTAGCTAACCCATATACTAAAACACGTCTTGTTACACTAATCAGCGTGAGGGATGAACAATGCAGAAATTGAAGGTCTCACGGACTCCCGGGCTAATTCAAAATACTGTGATGCATTTTGTACATTCTTGAGTTCGGTGTTTCTTTCAGACTACATTGAACGGATATTTCAGATTTTCTGTTGGGAAGACCCAAGATTAGCCATACGAGTGATCAAGGATATCTATCTCCACCTCAGCTCAGCATGAACTAAATTCACTCCAGTTTTGGTGCCATTCATGGTTTGCTTTTTGCTATGGGTTATTCTTTTCCAAAATCTTTATATAACCCAGAATTTTTTTTATAAATTCAAAATGCAAGAATACATTTTAGAACCTACACGTATTTTGTTTAGCAACATTCTACTTCATCAAAGAGCACGGGAAGAGATGCTAGTTAAAAATTTTAGTGTCATTTAATATCAGAGCCATCGTGCTTTTTACTGCAGCCGCTATGGCTTCATAAGTACTCGGGTATTTCAAAGATTTTGTAATTATTAATTTTGAATGCAAGGTCGATTAGAATAGCACCTAAAACGTAGCAGCCGCTTTAAGAATTAAAGCGACGGTCCTGTGGACCTACTTGTGGTATATATTTCTTTTTAAATATTACAATGGTTTTCAATTTTTATTGAATCTTGATTTGGGTTAACTTCTTAAAAAATTAAACAATTTGAAATTTTTTTACAAAAGTAGAGCATGACTTTCAAAAAAACAAAGATTTTCAGCACAAAGAGCATTGCCAGGATCATTTTAGATGCTGAACTGAAATTAACCATAAAATTTAATCATTACTTTTCTCAATATCACAAAGGTTTACATGAGTCAAAGAGAAAAAGAAAATCTGGTTTGTATAAAGGTCTATACCATTTTATGAGTTTTCAGTACTGATATTTGTTCAAAATCTTATACGAACTGATTAATTTTATTAAGAAGAGATTAGATACTTACAAAAGATATATTTATTAAGGTGTGATATTTTTGAAAGAAATTGTATAAAAATAAAGTATAAAGTACCCAGCTGATTGCAATTATTATTTGTAATTTAAAACAACTATAACTTCCTGCCGATATATTAAAAATTATAAATTGCCTCTTCGGTATACGTTTACATATTTTTTTTACAAGTTCCAGACAATCCATTTATAAATGGACGATTTGGGGATTTGAGAAAGAAGAATTATTTCTTAAATTAATACCAACAATTTGTTTTCGGCATGACAACGAGAACGTGAGTAGTGAACGCCTAACAGAAGGGACTTGGAAGCGTAAGTAAACTACAGTACCACAAATACTTAATATACATTAACTAGTTATAGTTACTAGACAGGGATGCTATTTTTATATTATACAATGTTATAACTAATTTGCGTATTGTTATTAAATATTCATATTCATGGGCTGAACCACGGGTGTTATATAATCATTCTAGATTAATTAGTCATTCATAAAGTATAACATAACCGTATGTGTGTGAGTGCCAACGCATGTATAGGTGATTACGGTGGTGCTTGGTTACTTGATAGTGTATCCTCTCAGTCGGTATGGTGTACGTTCAGTGATAGACCTGTATGCGAGGATAGGGATGCAACCCCCTTTGGCAATGGCAACAATGTGTTTATAGTTCAGGACGTAACATATAGTCTGGTTAGTTGTTGTAATGGAATTTCTGCAAAATCGTATTATGAGAAAGGAATTAATTTTTTTCAGAAATTGCTATTGCTCTTTTATATAAGCTATAAATACATTTTATTTTTTCTTGTGATTCAACCGTGTACACTTCTAATCATATTTCAGATTTAAAAATTGGAACCAGCAAGACTTAATAAAAGCCAAAAGATAACACATTTGAACTGATTTATGGAGTGGTGGCAATAAATAAAAATATAAACAACTTTATTTGCCACGGGGGAGGAAATAAAACAAAAATATAAAATCAAAAATTGAACAAAAAGAAAAATGAATAAACCAATTGATTTGATATCAATGGGTTTAGTTACAATTATCATGTCTATTATCACATGTGTTGCATCTACACCAAATCATAGTAAGTTTCATGATATAACATATATTTATCAGTAGAAACATGATATATAAAATAACTGGTTACTTTAAAAATATTGGAATTACATTTATAATATTCTTTTCGTTTCTTTTTTTCGTTTTAAATCTAGCAATGGTGATCATAACTGTATTTCTATCCTTTATCTATGTGTATGATGTTTAATACTAATGAATGTGCTGGATACAACAACTACTCATCTCTTTCAGCAAACATACAACACTGTCTCTCGTTGTTTTTAAAACATGGAACTGATTTTTTAAAAACTTGTTTTAATAGTTTAAAAAAATATTTTTTAAATAATTAAAAGCAAATGTACGTTAAATTTTAAAAGCAATGTCATTAAAATATTCACACAGTTATTCCCCTTTTTTTTCGCAATATAAATCGCATGTTCTAATTGTGTTCAACTTCTAGATACATCAAAAGAGATGACTTTCTTTTTTCATGACTATGTTGATGAACCTGGAGGATACTTTCAATGCACAGCGACAGGCTACCCGCAAACAATCACCATTGGCAGAAAGGGCTGGGGCGGCTTTTTATCACAACAATGTCGGAAAGGCACTCAAGAAGTCTCAACATTAACTCACCAAGCACCAGATGTCGGATGTGATTTTATGGCCACCTACGTGTGTAATGCAACGTACAACACCGATGAAGTAATATCTAGATATTTAAATGTTGCCTTCAAGAAATGTAAGTAGAAATTAGCAAATCTTTCATTTAATTGTGATAATATAGCATACCGTTCGGTTTAAAAAAAAAAAAAAAAGTAAATAAGTAGAATTATAATTTAAATTAAATTAGCGACCTTTGCTGAAAAAAAAAACATATTAAAATATGATTTAACCATACAATGGTTAATTTGTCATTTATCAAAATTCGAACAAATATGTTGAAGCTAAAGTCCGTTTAGATTATTTCATAAAAGACAATCCAAAGAGCGACATAGCTAAGGAGATGAGAACAAGGTGCGATATACTTTATATGACTAGGGAATAAGTTATTTGGGTTACCGCCATAAATTGACCGGCACACGCCAAAACATTTTTTGGAATATGGAGTTTGGCCGCCCAGTTTTGGAAACGGCATGAGGCAAGAGGCAACAAGAGGAATGGAGAAAAAAAAACTTGGACATATCTGGTCTGGATAATTTTCATACATTATACTATTTATAAATTTATACACTTTATAATTCACTTTTAATAACTAAGCTATCGAACTAGCGTAAACAATATGCTAATTATCATTATAATTACTTGGAACATGGCCACACCTCCCGGCCAAAGTATGAAATTTCCGGAAATTCGGGAACTTGGCAAACCTCAGGCTTCGGACGTAACATATGTATACCAAAATGCCTTTATAGTAATAAAATTTTCATCAAACTAAACTGATATTTTTTAACAATATTTCCAGGTGTCCCAGTTATCAAAGAGGCATCAGAGCGCAAAACCATTAAAATCTTTCATTATTACACAATTGAGTCATTTTCTCAGGAATATAGTTCTAATAAAACATCTGTAATGTCCTCCATTGGAATTCCATGGATAATTTGTATCACTATTTTTCAACACTTTTAATTTAAGCACACGATGAGACTCACAATTGAAAGTTACTGGAATGTCGAAAAAGAGTTAAATATTTTTTAAAATGCACTTAGAATCTATTTAGTTCTTACATCTAGGGATTTGCAATATGTTTCATCAGTTTTGTTTTGTACTAAATAAGCTAAATAAATTTTAGGTTGATTGAATGAGGGAAATTCAAAGTAACAAATTATTTTTTTAATTTCTTAAAACAAATATTATAGATTTCCTAATGACAATTTTAAAAACTGTATAATTGAAGAGAACTGCATTTTTACACCAACCATATGATCTGATAAAGATAAGGGTTGAGGATGAATAGAAAATAGTGGTAAAAATAACATCAACCGGGGAATAATCTCAATCAAGTATTGGAAAATTTCAACGAAAACTATTAATCACTGACATATATATCTTTAAAATATGACAAAGATTTCTTTAAATCTGTGCTTAAAGATGGGCATTTTCTATGAATAAAAGACGAGTTTCAAAACCTTTTCACTTATTGTGTTGTTTTTTTTTCTTTTTGCTTAAATTTAAATATGAAACATAAGATCATTTCTCATGCAAAGAATGAAGAGTTTCAATATATAACAGTAATAACACAGTTACAAATTCAAATCCTCATTTTGTCATGTTTAATGTAAATATTGCTTTAAAAGGGAACACAAAAAGGCGTCATTTTCCTTGATCATAGAAAAATATTAAATTTGTTACCTGAGAAGTTAATATGACAACAATACATAATATTATTATTTTTTAAATAAAGGTTTAAGAGAAGGTCTCGGTGATCAGATTTTTAAAGAGAGAATTGCAAATGGCTAAAAAGTTTTTTTTTAAATCAGTTAAGATAAAACTCTTGAGATACAGGATGTCTCTGGCGTTTATTGTAACTATTAAATAAACTCTTTGTTGTTGTTTTGTTCCCATCCTTTGAGCATAAAGCATTTTATCAGTATTTTTTTTTAAAAACTAGTTGATGTCTACCGTAGCATACAGCATTGTGAGAATAGGGCTTAACAGCGTGCAGACACCTGGTCTGGTGTTACACAAAAGAGCTGACTTATCAGAATCTATAAACAGTATGCCTACAGACAGTCCAACACCCTACCTGTGCGCTTTTAACAATGGGCTAACAAACAGTCCTAAACCCTACCTGACGGCTTTCAATCAATAGCCTTACACACCGTCTTACACACTACCTGTCAGTATTTCAAAGAAGTCAGTCCTACGCCATTCGCATGGCTCTTTATTTATTAATAAAATAGTTGCCTCCAAAAAAAATCTTTGAAAAAACGCAACCTTCTTACCCGTGTTCAACCGTCACGCATGACCTCACTGCTTTACAGCTCTTTTAGTTTTCAATATTTGTGTACAACCTGTTGAGTAAGGGATTGAGGGCGGTTTGGAAAAGGAAGCTGGCACGTCACAAGTGTCATATATCAATATAATACATACCTTTTTCAACAAAATATCAAAGTTTAATATTATCAAAACCAAGGGAAGAAGAACTTTCATCTTTCGATTACTTATGACTATTTCGAAGCTTAGGTATATTTGCTTACAATAATAATTTATTTTTATTTTTTTTTACATCGATAATATTGTCTTTGCTGTTTAGGTTGGCTGCATTAGGAACTATAGATGTAACGAATAAAAGTAAAGACAGAGAGGACATTCCTTTTGAAGATCCATGGATGTCAACTTTTACGGGGTAGATTGGAGGATAAAATTCAGTAGGGCTTTTGTTTCCTTAGTAATGCCTCTGAAACAATAACTTTTATATATTTGGCTACATTTAAAGTGTTTGTCTATTTCTTTCCTGAAAAATTGACCATATAATTGTACTTTGGTAATCATGTTATTTTTTAAACTAATGATTTTAATGTTGATACATGAAATTTACCTACAAAATTTATGGTTTAAAAATAACTACAACTAACACCGATGTTACCTCAGGTTACCGTAAAAATCCCTCATCCCCCGAAAAAAAAATATTAAATGCTCAGTGGTTAGTTGCTTCCTAAAATCTAGGAGTTTTAATAAATCATTTTCTTAAGTCAGGAAAAGTGTAGAGATGTAGAGACACAAGCGAAGCGGCTCAATGCAGTTAGGTATCAAATTTTTGTTTCCGGATGTAAGAAACGAAAATGATCAATTTATAAAGTAAATAATTAAAAGTGTATTCTTAAACACTTACATTTGGAGGTGCAACTCTTGACAGCAGCCTGGTAATCCAATATTTCCAGAACATAAAGAATGCAGACGTTTGCATTTTAAAACTTCAAAGTCAGTTTAAGGTTGTCTGATTTCCAGACCACCTACACGAGGCTATTCTTTGACAAGTCAATGCTGTATTGGAGCTGTCTTTTAACTACCGTATGTAAATAGCACACGAGGCACTCGACAAGCATTTAAAAAAACTTTAATCCAAAAAAAAAAAATCACCGTACACAGGTCTATTTAACAAATCCTGAACTAATCTATGTTAAACCAAACACAGTGTTGTGTTTAAAAGAGAAATCTTGTTACCTTATCATGGAGAAATCAAGGCTTTTACACGTGTGGTTTTTCTATTTTGGTTTAGGATCACTTTAAAAGACAACGACATTTTATTAAACATTGATGAATTTCAAAATTAACTTTGGTATCATGGTAATTGAATGTACTTAATAGATCGTAAAGGCCAGTTTTGAAAAAATCATCAAATTATTCTCTTGCACTAGTCAAAGTGAATAATTTTTTTTTAATGTGTGTAAATAACAATAATTATATATTATTATTAATAATTTAACAGGTTATTATTAATAATTTCACAGGTTATTATTAATAATTTCACAGGTTATTATTAATAATTTCACAGGTTATTATTAATAATTTCACAGGTTATTATTAATAATTTCACAGGTGCACAGAAGTGAAATTTGTTGATTGCATGTCCAAACATAGAAAGGAGCCACGCTGTGTTAAAGGCAGAAGATTACAACTGAAAACAAATCAGCGATCCGCAGTGTATACTAAACAGCTAACTATCAATAACTCTTTTCTAAACGTGTGTAGGGCAGGGACGTGCAGGCACGCGACGACCATTCGTCATGGGCCTTTTTGGGGCATTTATTACAATCCCCGGTGTGCGGGGGGGGGGGAGGGGGGGGGCGCCTCCGGGCCTTTCTTACTACACCGTTCGTCACGGGTTTCCCTGTGCCAGCACGTCCCTGGAGTGTAGGGTTGCAAGAAATGTATCTTTATGTTTTGAGAATAGCGGATGATGATCTGGGAAAATGATTTTAACAATTTCCAATATTTTAGGTGACTGTGCCGTAGATTTGTGCTGAAATTGAATGTTTGCTTTGAGCAAGACAGTACAAGGTCTGTCAAGAGAGTACTCATTTTCAGACAAGCTCATTAATCGGTGCCAAAGATACTAACGAGAATTCCGTGAATGTTCGAGAACCTTTCATCGCGCTTTCCTATTTGAATTGACGGCCCACGCATTTTCGAAAAAGTTCTAAGACGTCAAGATTTACGTAATGTACAATGCGTGGCCAGACGTGTGCAATCAATAGTAAAAATAAACAAATAATAGACAGACAAACAAACAAAAGGTATTTAAATAGAATTTTTCCACCAACTGAAGCGTCACCATAGGCACGGCGTTGCCTTTAGAATGTTAAATTTTAAGAAATTTTGAACTAAAGTGCAAAATATATGTTAGTTTGTGTGACTCGGGCATTTTAGCAATTGGTTGAAACTAGGTTTTCCAAACGTCCCCATTTATAAATGTTTTGAGAAACAAAGAAAAAAGTTAAATTATTTTAACTATATTATATGTTCAGGGCTGCTAACCCTGAAATCGATATTGTGTTGTTTTGTTTTTTTTTAATGTGAAAAGCCAATGTGCTGCATGGACCATGAGTAACACTGACTCACCACAGCCCTTGCGTAAAAGGCTGATATTGTACTAAATGAACCCCAAACATATTATCAAGGAAATGGAAACAAGCAGCAAAGGGTAAAATTTACAAAGATTCTGGAGCCTTGTAGATTGATTATGTTTTCCTCAAAATAATAACCCACAAACATATTGCTTGTTAACTAGTTCTATCATGATGGCAGATGCAAAGAGCTACAATAAATTGCGCAATCACTTAAGTTGAAACCAAAAAGAATTTATTATCTATAATAGATAACCAAAATTGCTCTATAGTTTAAGAAAATAAGTTTATTGATTTTCATATGATATTTCGGATTGTGAACTTAACTGAAGTTCTAAAGAATCTCAATTTATCTATTCTGATATCTAAAGTCAAAATCTGGCGGAATAAGTCGTTGCTGAAGATCGTTTTGTTGACTGTGTTGTGATTTTGACAGAGTTGAACAATCGTTAACCTTTCATCAATGTATAGAGTGGATATGGAACACATGCATTTCTTTTAGATAAACATAGTTGTTTAAATATTTTTTATTTTATAACAATTAGAAACTTCAGGTTATTGCTGAATATAATTTTAACGTAACAAGTGTTCTTGGATAAAACTGGACAATGTTAACTTTAAAAAAAAAAATGCATTGGGTCTCTTTTTTTAAATGTATTTGTAATCTTGGATTGCGATTCTTACTTTTATTAAACTGTGAATTGTGTTTTAGAAGCTCATTTTTACCACGGAAATTGTAAAATCGATTGAAACGTTTTATTATGCAGAAATTGTGTGTATGTCTTTTCTTTAAACTCTAAACACAAAGTATTTTTTATCTTTATATCCCTTCGTCTTTTAAAAAAAAAAATTAAAAATAAAAAGTTTTAAAAAATGTTTCCAGAGACTTTTATTGGAGATCTTATAATTGGTGATAAATTTAGTTTTGATATACACATCTAGGGATATTAATGTACCTGAGACATAGGCGATGTGAAATAAATCAAACTTGTTAAGCTAAGGTAAAAACAAATTTGTGCTATTAATCTTGAGTCAAGCAATTTTATCATCTCCCAGTAAAATTTCATGCTAGTTTAAAAGGTGAAAAGAGAATATACAGGTTAGGGCCATCTTTACTAGTAAATTGAGTTAAGTTGCTTCAGATCCAATTTTGCTAGTGATTAGCGTGTAGTTGGGGCGTCTATAAATAATGTTTAAAAAAAATAAAGGGAAGGGGTTTTATAGGGACAAGTATGACAATTTTGGCAAAGAGAAAGGAGGATGCAAGAAATTTATTGATGTCAACATCAATATTATATTGATAAACACATAATATACAAATAATAATTGGCAACATATTAGTGGTATTTTTTATTAAAAGTCTAATCGTTTTAAAACTTATTAAAAGCAAAGTAAGGACATTCATAGTTGTAAGAAAATACCATTGGCTTCTCATTGGAAAAAATACAACAATAAAAGATGCGGCTAATTCAAGGGGCTTTCAAAGGGCAGATGCCCAAAATTATTGCCCGAAGAGAAATTGCTCATATTTGAAGGGCTCCGCCGT